TAAGGGAAGAACAAGACCAGAAAGGCAGATTGTAAGGTAGAAATACGTACAGTAGACATATTGTAAATGATTGTTTAAAATTCTTTGGTTTAAATCCTGACCTTCTGTACTTGTGGTATACTTACGTCATCTTACGTCTATACTTGTGGACATTCTGCTTGTTGTCGCACCGCCCCCTGTGTTTTGCGGCGTGCCACCACATGTCGTGACACATCCTCCGAGCCACAGGAGTTTTGTTGGAGGCCACGTGTTTTCGAATGAAGCACTCCGTGGCTGATAACTTCCAGCTTTGCAGGTATCGCCGCACATCGTTGTGGCCATTCTGAACCTCAGGGCTCATGAGATGACCAGGGCAAGTCTTTCTAATGTCTTTCCAAACTCGTTGCGATCTGGCAGAACAAGCTGGCTTCGAACATATCCTCTTCGTAGGGGTACCACCGCTGCAGCACCTCTGAATTTCCATTGCAAGCAGGACCTCTTGCACCATTTAACTATATTTGACTCATTTATCCACATATTCGTCCTGCATAACTATGGCATATTGCGGTGACAAATCGGGTCTACCATGGTCTACCCAGGCACCGCATCGTGGATTGGGAGTAGCCCAAAGCGATCTCTTCGCAAGGTCGCACCGCAGTCTTCAATCAAGAATCGCGCTAGTTTCAAATTACCTGAAGCAAAGCTGCAGGTCAAGAATCCAATACAATCCAATCTTAACCATCCTTCAAAATCTTGCAGCACGACAACGGTACAAGATGGTACACGTATACTCGCAAGATAGGGATGCGGCAGTGCCTGTATGCAGAAATCAGTGTTCATCCAGTATCACAGGCTGTCTACACGAAAGCTTGATTCGATGAGACTGAGTGCTGCTTCATAATAATCTTTACGGATTTACTGACTTTCAAATCACATCAAATCACTAGATTATCGGATGTGTAAGATAACACCCAATGTAGCCAGGCAACCTGCTGCAGCCGCCAGATGCAAGGGGGTTCGCATGTCGTAGGCAGTGCCCATATTTGGATCTGCCCGCGCTTCGATCAAACTGCGAATACCTCAATGCGATGTCAGTGTGTGCTTGGGTGGGTGACGCATGTCTTGTGCGACAGCGCGGAAAGAGATCGCTAAGCTGAAAGAAGCACTCATGGTCAATCATTATGATAGGTTAATATTGAGGTTTGGATTGACAGGTCAAGGTTCAGATAGACAAAATCAACATTTACATACATTTACTATCATTTACTTAAGAACACAGTGACAGAAACGGAACAACATGCCACTACTTCGCCGTGATCATTTCACTCTTCATGCGTAGGATCCAATGGCTGCCGTTGTCCTGCAGATGTGCTGTCTCTCTACTGAGCTTGGGACCCTCGATGTCACCGCGCGCTGCGCAATCGCATACTAAACCTTGGACTGGGAAGACCCTGCGGGGGGCTTGGTGTAAAGAAACCAAATCAATGGAGGTTCTCTCAGCTCAAGGAAATATCTCAAAAAAAGGCGTGACGCTGCAGTCACAAGCGGAAGGTTACCTATAGGCCTAGATACGTATTTAATGGGAGAAACCAATATCTGCAGTCAAGTCAACCGGTCAGCGCCGCTGTCGGTAGATTCTTCAAAGTGGTCGCCTTGGCAGTTGATGATCTACAAACATGCTGTACCTCGAGACTAGACCATGTCCTTTGTATCCTTCGTCTTAAAGCCAAAACATACAATGAACATGGACATTTTAGGCAGGTCGTTCTGTCAGAAGCTGGCAACATGTAGATATGTTAGGTCTAGCATGTGCAGACGGATATACATATGATTCTATCTGCCTATCTATCCATCCATTCATCCATCAGTCCATCGATTCGTCCTTCTATCTATCTGTCTATCTATCTATCTACCTATCTACCTATCTACCTATCTACCTATCTATCTATCTATCTATGTATCTATGTATCTATCTATCTATCTGTCTATCTGTCTATCTATCTATCTATCTACCTACCTATCTATCTACCTATCTATCTACAATATCTATCTATCTACAGTATCTATCTATCTACAGTATCTATCTATCTACAGTATCTATCTATCTACAGTATCTATCTATCTACAGTATCTATCTATCTACAGTATCTATCTATCTACAGTATCTATCTATCTACAGTATCTATCTATCTACAGTACCTATCTATCTACAGTACCTATCTATCTATCTATCTATCTATCTACAGTATCTATCTATCTACAGTATCTATCTATCCATCCATCTATCTATCTATCTATCTATCATATATTCTATCTAGTCTAGTCTATCAGTAGTATCCAGTAATCATTAAGAGTCTAATCTATCTAATCTATCCAATCTATCTAATCTATCTAATCTATCTAATCTATCTAATCTATCTAATCTATCTAGTCTATCTAATCGATCTAATCTATCCTATCTAATCTATCTATCTATCTACCTACCTACCTAGCTATCTATCTATCCATCTATCTGTCTATCTATCTATCTATCTATCTATCTACAGTATCTATCTATCTACAGTATCTATCTATCTACAGTATCTATCTATCTACAGTACCTATCTATCTATCTATCTATCTATCTATCTACAGTATCTATCTATCTATCTATCTACAGTATCTATCTATCTATCTATCTATCTACAGTATCTATCTATCTATCTACAGTATCTATCTATCTATCTACAGTATCTATCTATCTATCTACAGTATCTATCTATCTACAGTATCTATCTATCTACAGTATCTATCTATCTACAGTATCTATCTATCTACAGTATCTATCTATCTACAGTATCTATCTATCTACAGTATCTATCTATCTACAGTATCTATCTATCTACAGTATCTATCTATCTACAGTATCTATCTATCTACAGTATCTATCTATCTATCTATCTATCTATCTATCTAATCTATCTACCTCTAATTATATATATACTTATCTTATCTTGTCTTATCCAATCCAATCCAATCCATCTATCTCTGTATACTGGTACCTATTTATGTATATTATTTATAGATTATAATATTAGTGCACCCTTGAGAAATAAAACGGCTTGTTGTTTTGGCATTCCTGCGCGCATGAAGCATCTGCAGCATCTGCTGCAAACCATTGTCCAACGGCCCCCATAGAAGCAAGTCTCTGGGGGCATCTGTGCGAAGGGATGGGCATCTGCATCCTCACCTGTAACGGCGGGATGCGGCACATGCCATGCATTGGACTTTAGCAAGTCTGCTTATACAGATTGATGGGTTTATGATTAGTCACCTTCACTTTACCGGTGCATGGTGTATGCATATGTATCCGTGCAAAATACTTTTGTTGGTTGCAAAGTTGATTTCCGCATCAACAAATGATCATTTTTATAGAACAGCCAGCTGGGAGTTTGAACAAAAGCAGTATAGTTCAAAATCTGATCGCAAACCTTTCCAGCCAATAAGGTGCTTGCTGAAACGTATTTTGAAATGCCCAAGCAAGATCAGTTCTATCAGTCACCCATAGAGTCGCTGCAGAGCTTTTCTGTGTACTTCTTTAGTTGGTATGTTATTTTCTGCGTGGACATAGCTCCAATATTCCAAATGCAAAACGCGGCATGGAATCATGGGGGTCAATCTCAATCAGCCCACCATCCCAAAAACTTCATGACAAAGGCACACACAACCACTGCAGAATTGGCCGGCATCGGGCAGGGGGGGCAGGGCGGCAAGCCGCGGGTAGTTGCTCCAAAAGTCTAATGGCTGCGAAGGGGCTTCAATATCCAGCCCAGCCAGGAGGAACGGGACACATATGAATGACATGCATAAATGCATATATATATATAATATATATATAATATGTATATATATATGTATATATATATACGGACAGGAATTATATATACGGAAGTATGCGGATACACCATAAATTCATATGTATACAGACACACATATACAGTATTCTAAGATGTTGCAGCTTATTGTACAAACAAATATTTACAAGATTTTACAAGTATATTGGGCAACTGCAACCTCAGATAAGGCAACATCTGATGCACACCCCTTCACCTACCTGAAGCCTTTGAACTGCGATGACAAGCTCCTGGACTTTCACATGTTTCACACATCAGTAGCATTCCAACAATGATCACTTTTCGCCTCTCGGTGTCTGATTGAACGCAACCTTCACACATCTTCCCCTACCTCAAGGACTGGTCAAGATTTCAAACACATATCATAATTGTATAATATTGTGTATATATATACTTAATTATAATTATTATTATGTATATTATATATTTGTAAGTATATTTCTGTAAGTATCTGAAATCTGTTGCAAGGCAAAAATATCCAACTGATTGCTATATAGTACAGGTAGCTCCTACTCCAACCGACACCTGAGATCCTCACCGAAGCGGCTTCCACGGCCTCCTGAGGCCAAGTCATCCCTCCGCCCTAACTTGGCCGACTAAGTCACTAACAGCCCTGAGTTCCTCCATATGTCAGGCGGGATCTAACGGGTACTTACGGAATCTTACGGATACAAACTCTCAGAGATCCCCCAAGTGGCTCCTTTAACAAAGTTCACATGCCTATCATTCCTAGCAACGGCTTCACCCAATGTCATATTGTTATCTCTTTAAAAGACGAAAGCACCACAGGGGTCCGTTCGAGACCGCCGTATTTTAGCAGGGAAACTTGGTGTCCATGTTAAGGATTGTTAAGGATGGCTGCCGTCGACTAAGGTCCATCCTTGACAGCTGCATGCTCTCTGAGACAGTTCTGCGGCGGCCCAGCTTCTTCAGCGATTCCGCACTAACTTTTGGCTTGTTGTAAAATTGGATATGATATATAAACAGTACAGTTTAACCGCATTTTTTCCAGCAAAATGAATGCACTCAACGCATGGTCCACTATTTGTGGCAATCTCTATTCTAGCTCAGTGGCAAGCTGTCTCGATATTCGCTTGGGAGTCCCAAATGCAGCAGCGCAACGATAGCAAAAGCGCTTCATTTCTTCATGTCTTAGCGCCAATCACAAAATCTTGGGCCAAGAAGGAGAGTGAACGGTGACAAGCCACAAACACCATAGTTGGTTACGTGTGCAGATTTGCAGTGCGTGCCTTTCTTGTCATAATCATGCTGTGACTTGTTGTTTCCCCTAATATCATTTCTTCCTTCTTGGTAGAAAGGTCCGTTCATGTGCGATAAGAAAGGGGCCACTTTATCGAGCGGACAAGTTGGATTTGTGCACTATGGCCCCATGCCAGTCCTTGCCCTTTACTGCTTCCTGCTTGTTGAAAAAGATGAAAAGAACATCTCATTGACAACCAAAGCAAAGGCGAAGCCTGAAACCTTTTGAATGAACACCATGCGAAAGCCTATGCAGTTGCCAATCAGTACAATGTCGAGGACAAACCTCCAGGATATCCTATCCAACCACGCCTCCCCAAGAAGAGCAAATGAAGCAGTGACAGATAGTGACAGAAACAGGAAACTGCAGCAAGGGGAGGCACCCAGTCGAGCGTTTCCCAGGCATACTTCAAAGATGGGCCGTAGTTGATGCCAGCCCACACTCCTGTGCATGCTCAAGAGTGACGTCTGTCAACAGTCATCATTTTCAGCATGGGGCGCTGCACTTCATATCCAAATAGCACCCACCCCTGAACAAATCTGGACTTCTCTCAACAATCAGCGATTGCTGATCTTATGTGTTACAAACGTTCAAGCACCCTCTATGGAGCCAAGAGTGAGAACGACGACAGCTCCCTATTGCTTCAACTGGCCCTGGCGCATGTTTACGCAATGCAACAATCCGACAGCGTTGCTTGCAGCATTTGGGGCTCGCCTATGATGACACCCACACAAATGCCGCTCCAAAAGTCGCTCAAGGGCCGCCTGGCTCTGAGGGGGTGAAGCGCGTGATATCCGCTGACGCCCACTTCGAAACTTGAAAAGAATGGCATCTTTGCAGGAAATTGGAAAGTGGTAGTCTGGGTACATCTTGCCTTGAATAACAAAGTGACAGGAGATACCCCAAAAAGAGTGTGCGTGCATGGTTAATGCCCTCAAGCAAAGTCATATGCTGCTGCAAACGGGAAAAAAAAACAAACCATATCCTTGTGCGGAGTACTGGCTGAAACATGTGGAACTAGACAAAGCTTGGCGACTTTCTTTCAAGAACGCTACGAAAGAACACATGAAGAGGCTCATGCCAAGTCAACCGCAAATATCTGAATTCCCTTGGATTTGGCCACTTACATAGTCCGCTGTTTTGTTGGTCGTATTCTACAAATTTCTGATCAGAGCAACAAGGTGAACGGATTTTCTGGCGGTAACACAGGCGACCTCAAAAGCACTACGATTCATCCTGGACGCAGATGAATCGCACGTCGAACCCACAGGTCCGTCAGACCTCGTTTTCTCCAAGGTCGAGATGTCATCCAGTTCCTGTCATGAAGACAGGGGTTTAGTAAGCTGGTCCTGTCTGGGACGTCGTTGTCGTTCAACAGCTGTTAAGAACATTTAAGAATCACAGAATACCCAGCAGGTCCAATATATTGAAGATACCTCAAATGCAAACAATGGGGACTTGAAAGACCATCACAACCGGATTTCAACGTATTTCCACTAAACAAAATTGGGATCTGACAAGACATCCAGCACCCTCTAAGCCACCTCAGATCCCAGCGCAGTGGGCCTTGGTGGAGAAATAATTGGCATAGAGGCCGCCCAAGACCAACACTGGGTACAGGATACCAGCCATAACCTCGGGCCTAAATCGCTGCGAAGTGGTACCTAGGACGTTTGATGGTTTTTGTATCTATCATTATCATTCATTATCTAGTGGAAGTCTCTTTCCCACACACGGCTTCCTTTCAGGCTTTTTTGCGAAGACAAAAAACTCATGAAGCTTCCTCTTGCAAGCGCATTTGCGCTGAAGTCTACAGTATAGGTGCCTCTTGATGTCTCGAATGCGTAAAATAGATTAAAATAGCAATCATGCAATCATGCATGCTTTGCAGTTCCCAGACTACGCAGGCCAAACAAGAATGGCTGAATGTCTTCAATTCGTTCGAACCATTTGAAGCATCAAAACGTGGCACTGTGGACGCTTTTTGCTCAAATAGCTCGCCTCTGTGCTGTCTGAGCCTAACATCAGTTGCCACCGTCCTCTCAGTGGCTCACTCTCGTTCAATGGCTCACCCAAAGGATGAGCGTAAACATACCTCAGCATCATTCAGCATCTCGCAATGTGGGACGCGATTTAGAAAAGGGAATCACGTCCAATTGGTCAACTTGTACAGTAGGTCCTGTTCCAAAAAATATGTTCCACTGGATTCCACTGGGAAAACCTTGGGCACCTTATCACTCAATGGGTATCTGGTAACAAATGCCTAGCGCAAAGATTGCCATTTCATACCATTGCTGCCATGAATCTCTTGTGTTTTCTTTTATTGCATTTTTAGACTGGGGTTTGCCAGACAACTTGGCAAACACAGACAGCATGCCAACGGATATTACTGATACCGTAGGACGAGTTTCCGACGAGGCACAATGGGGCGCCAGCATCGAGCAGGAATTGAAACTCCTGTGGCACAGATCTTTGTCTGAGCGCTGCTCGCACATCTTTGATGGTTGAAATTTCTGGCAGCCTCACTGTGACGGCATCACCTCAGGCACAGCTGTGAAACACCAACTCTTTCAATCGCACCCTGAATCGCCCCAAGTCACCCAGGCCCGCGAAACACACTTGATCGTTGTTGTTCGTTTGCCACGGCTTGAGCAACATGAAGGGAACTATCTTACTAAGACTAAGATGTTTTTGATTGCATACGAAATAGTTTGTCTTGCCGAGAAAATTGCCGGCCCAACCAAGAGCAATGTTTGCATGTGACTACTGCTTGCTAGCCAGTGACAAAGGTGATCCTCTCCAGTTTATTCTTTATCTGCACCTTCCTATCTACGATGGCTATCTCAAAGCTGGCAAATGGTCATAGTTGCAGGTCAGTTCAAGGGTATCATGTCTGATATGCGCAATTGGGCACTTGCCCCTCGAATCCAAACCCACCCTTGTGCACAATGTTGAAAGGCAAAACCAGGACTATAGTAAGAATTAGTCAGTAGATTTGTGTAGATGGATTTGGACAGCTCTGAGCGTCTTCTTGGCAAGATGCTGGACAATGGATTTGAAACAGAGATGTCCACTGAAGCGTAGGCCATTGCGGACGGGCTGTTGTGAGCAGCTAAAGCCAGTCCAAGGACCAAGATCTCTCGGCGCTCACCCAAGATCATTGAATCCTGCAGTGGAACACTAGAGCCGTTCATGGATTGCATATGATTGCATGGTTGAAATATATTTGACAACAGCATCCACAGAATTCACCCTATATCTGCATGTATATATATATACATACAATGCATCAATGATCCGCCGACCCCTGCTGTAGCGGGGGAGCGCGTGAGAGAAGCAACTTAGCCTCCCGATGGGACAACATAGCCTTGAGCTCTTGCTCCCTGCTCGACCCCTATCACCTCAACATGGGCCCCTGGCCGGCTGTCGCGCGTAAGCGCTTAAAATATCAATGTGTGCATAGCATCCCACCTCGAACTGCTTGAAGGTATTTCCTGTCTTTTCCACCAGCTGCATGCGGTGAATTGCTTCAGCACGCCGTCCAGTACAACGAATCAATGCCTCCTGCAGCTGAATCCAAGATGGGGTAAGAAGAATGGGTAAACAATGGTAAAGATTGGCAATGTGGAAACAGTAGGGATGGAGGAGCCTTTTTTAGAAACTTTTTTGCAAATTAATTTCAGAGAATCAGATACCTTCTGATGCACGTGGTGGATCCTTCCGACATGTTTTTGCACCTTAAACAAATCATCAGATTCTACAGATATTGCGAAACTCCGAATTTCCCTGTTCCAAGGGCCTTTATCTGGAGCATGGTACTTGAGGCGGGCACACGTAGGGTCACCTCACCTTGCCTTAGCATGATTCAAGCTGGTCAGCCAAGCTGAAGAATCATGGTCAGGGACTGCTGGAAAGGATTTGCTTTATTGCAACATCAAAGGGAGTCTGTAAATCCTCAATTCCATATATTAATATATATATATATATAATAGTTACAATAATTTATAATATACACTCTGCCTTGTCGCTTGACTCCATGCAGTTTACTGTCTGCTGACTTTATGCATATTGGAATACAAACATATCAGACCGCTAGACGCGGCTTCGGATTTAGGCGCTCGTCCCAGAAATTTCCAGTTCGAAAATCTTACGAGGAAATGGCAATGATGGCGGCTTAGCTCAGATCAGATGCTGTGTACCATGACGAACTTGCAAAGCTACTGTTGTCTCGGTTTCCTGCACAGGTTCCAAACTTGGAGTAAAGGCCAACCTGCAACCTGTCTAAGAGCACCTTAAGAGCCTGAAGAAGAAAGACCTCTACTGCAAGGCCGCTCAAGTTTAGGTCCACCACGGTTCAATTCTTACCAGATCTTGCTCGATTCATATCGATTTGTTTCAAATTAGAATATCTAAATCAATTTAAAGCATTTAAATTATATAATTCAAATCAATTTGAACCAGTTTAAATCAGTTTACGTGTTCCTTTGGGAATCCCTGTGGGCACAACATGTTCCAACCCTAATTCCTCCTTGGTGGGCTCTCCAGGGCTGGGCCCTGCCAAGGTCAGCGGTGCCTCCGTGAGGTGCCAACAAGACTGCTTCAATTCACAGATGAATATCATCATCATCATCATCATCATCATGATCACCGCACATAAACAATGATAATACATGCTATACATGTCATAGTTCACGAACATTTCAACGACAACTAGCATAGTAATTCAATATAAATCATATATCAACAAAAGAAATAAACACAGGATGGTCACAAGTGGGGGAACCGCAGACCTGCTTTGCAACCAGGGGTAGCAAGTAGCCTGTGATATTATCAAATGGAAAAGACAAAACTTGAAAAGGACGAAATATCCAACTGCTTAGCTGCAACATCCGCCAGAATCTGACAATGTGAACCCTGCAGATCCTGAAGTGAAGAGGGCCCAGGATTGGTACGTTAAACCTCTGAAGATGGTCTCTTGCAAGAACGTACTACAGTATTCTAACAGTAGCTAGAATCACACCCACACAGAGGCAAAAAACAACTCTGTTGGTTTGTGCGATTGTAATTGTAGAAAATTAGAAAGAAGTGCGCAGCCTATGTTGGCTCTGCATCAAAAAAAAGTCTCAGCAACATGGCCACTATTACTGCATCTGCCTGCCTTCATCCCATTGAGACCACTGGGCTTGTGGCCAGCGCTGGCCACCTTGGCAAGGCTCTGATGGCCAACACGTGATATTGACACTGAACTGATTGAGCAATTGCAAACTTGAAAACATGCCACTGTCGCCGGCACTACTGCTGCAATATTCATTCGCCAAAGGGCCAAGACAAAGACAGCAAGTGGCAATGAGAGGGATCCACATCCATCTAGTTCAATTTCAAAGGAGACATGGGCTATCTTGCCAGCGGCATGCAAACTTTGAGGTACCAGTACAAGTCTCTGTGACCGAATCCTGTTTTTGTGTCTGCTTAATGAGCAAAAACGGCATGACAATTCCCTGCTGTTGTGCGGCCAAATGCACAGATTCGTCAGCAGGCTCGGTGGGATATCCATCGGTAGAAACATGAACCTCGTCGTTCGGAGATTCCACATGCTCCTTCTCTTTCTTGTCGGCCCTTGGGGATGGAACTCAAAAGAAACTCTGCGCAGCTCAGCCGATCTGGTTGATATTCAGGTTTCAGTCATATCAGCGTTCTATCATAATTAATTACATAACTTTCGTTTTGGACAATGACAGAAAAAACTGCGAGTGTCTAACATTTTTAGATGTTACAGTTACAGTATATTATATGTTACAAGTATCTCAGTTTTCTCATGGTTGTTCATTTGGATATCTACAAGTAGGATGCGTTGGCCGCACATTCTCCCAGCAGTAAACGCAAACTCTCTGCCTGCTGGCATCTTATGTAGTAGAAACCACAAACATGGGAATAGTTTTCTGTTGAAATGGTCTGCGTTATTTCGCATGTCTTATCAAATGGCCGCAACTACCGACGCAAAGAAAAACACACATTTTACAAACGGTTCTGTGTTCCGCGCAACCCTCTGTGTCCAGCCCAGGATCTGGTTGGACAAATCGCCTTCCATCTTCTCCAAAGCATTCCAATCCTGGGCAGCCAAGCGGCCATGGACGCTGCTAGGTGGAATAACCTTTGCAATTTCCAATATTTCTTTTGTTTTTGTCCATCATCAGCAACAGCAACAAACAGAATGCGTGACAACTCTAGAATCTCCAGTGCGCAATCCAGTAGCGAGCAGGGATGAATAGGTTCTTGGAGACCCGGAAGTCTCTTTTGATCCTGCAGGGACTCTATCGCCATTGGGTGGCAAATGCGCAGCTTTGATAGGCCTTGGTGATTCCGGACAATGTAATGATCCTGCATTCGTCACTGAAAGAGCTTCATCCACAAATCCATGGTACAACATTCACAGTGTGTACGTACGTGTGTATGCGTGTAAGCATGTGTGCATGTATCTCCAGTATATGCATGTAATGTAATGCAATGGAAGGAAGTCTCGCACGAAACGCTCGTTTTGAGATTCCAACATGTCTCGTTTCGATTCTCTGGTTTTCTTCTAGCGTCGCCATGTCTATGTAGCGTCGCCGTGTCTATGGTGGAAGCTGCAAAACTTCTCATTTTCGAAGGTGTCCAAACAAGTTTAATGTCGTTTTACGTGGCAGGCGTGGCACGTCGTGACACTCTCGCGTGTCTGCAAATGAGTTTTGTGTGACAGGCGCAATACTTTTGCAAGGTTTTCACAAGATGACTTTCATTTTTCGTGGCATGTGCAGCACTTTGGGTGTGTCCATGTTCATTTTGCGTGGCAAGCGCAGCACTTTAGACGTGTCGTGTTGCCTGTTTTTTGCGAATTGCAATGTCAGAGCGGCGTCAAGTGGTGACAACGTGCCAATCACGTGGCAGGCGTGGGACATCGTGGAACGTAGTTTACACTCCGCACTCCACACTTTACACTTGATATTTTGCACTTTACACTCTACACTACACTTTACACTTTATACTTTTCACTCCACGTTCCGCAGTTTACACTTTACACTCCGCACTCTACACTTTACATTCTACACGTTACACTCCACACTCCACACTTTACACTCCGCGCTCCACACTTTACACTTTAAACTTTACACTCTACACTTTACACTGCAGACTCCACACTCTACACTTTACACTCTACACTTTACACTTCACACTTTACACTCCATACTTTACACTTTACAGTCCACACTCCACACTCTACACTTTACACTCCACGCTCCACACTTTACACTTTACACTTTTCACTTCACACTCCACACTTTACACTCCACACTTTACACTCCACACTCTACACTTTACACTCCACACTTTACACTCCACACTTTACACTCCACAATCCCCACTTCAGACTCTTCAAAGTACATTCCCCACTCAACACAACACTCCACTTTCTTCACCCTCCACCCCATTCCACATTCCACAGTCTACAGTGCACTGGTATGGTAACAGGGGAAAAATGTACAAGACTGTTCAAATAACTTGTTTCACTAAAGTGTTCCTACGTGACTGCATTCGGGTTCGTGGGCTGCATCTTGTTTATTATATGTTTCTTCCGTTTTGGTATTTTTTCACTCTACACTCTACTCTACACTCTACACTTTACACTCTACACTTTACACTTGCCACTCCACACTTTACACTTTACACTCCACACTCTAAACTATACACTTTACACTTTTCTTTTCACACTCCACACTTCACACTTTACACTCAACATTTTACACTTTAGCTGCCACACTCTATACGCTTCACACTTTACACTCCACACTCCGCACTCCACACTCTACACTCCACACTCTACACTTTACACTGTACACTCCACACTCTACACTTTACACTCCACACTTTACACTTCACACTCCACACTTTACACTCTACACTTTACACTCCACACTCCACACTTTACACTTTAGCTGCCACACTCTACACTTTATATACACTTTACACTTTTCACTTCACACTCCACACTTTACACTCCACACTTTACACTCCACACTCCACACTTTACACTTTAGCTGCCACACTCTACACTTTATATACACTTTACACTTTTCACTTCACACTCCACACTTTACACTCCACACTTTACACTGTACACTCCACACTTTACACTCACATTTTACACTCCACATTTTACACTCCACAATCCCCACTTCAGACTCTTCAAAGTACATTCCCCACTCAACACAACACTCCACTTTCTTCACCCTCCACCCCATTCCACATTCCACAGTCTACAGTGCACTGGTACGGTAACAGGGAAAAATGTACAAGACTGTTCAAATAACTTGTTTCACTAAAGTGTTCCTACGTGACTGCATTCGGGTTCGTGGGCGGCATCTTGTCTATTATATATATATTTGATCTGTGTTTCTGCCCGTTTTCCTTGCTATTTGCAGCATTTTGGAGCTGGAAGCTACCATTTCAACTGTCTTTGCAACATTTTGGAGTTGGAACCTTTCATTTTCCATAGAATGTACAGCATTTTGGTGGAAATTGTAACATTTTGGAGCTGGAAGCTGATGTTTCAACGGTATTTGCAGCATTTTTGAATTCGAGTTTTTCATTTTGGATGGAATTTGCAACATTTTGTTGCTCGAACTGTTCATGTAACATGGTAGTTTGCAACTAGGGTTCATGTAGGGTTGGTTTTTGGGGTTAGTTTAGGGGTTTGTTTGGTTTTAAGTTTTTAAGGGCTAGTTTTAGAGTTAGGGTTTATTTAGTTTTTCTTAAGCGTTAGTTTAGGATCTTTTTAGGGTGTGTTTTAGGTTTTATTTTAGCTCGGTTTAAGATCTATTTATGGTTGGATTAGGACCTATTTAGGGTTGGTTTATGTTGGTTTGAAGTTTGTTGAGGGTTGGTTTAGGATCTACTTAGGCATGGTTTAAAATCTATTTAGGGTTGGTTTACGGTTTATTTAGGCTTGGGTGAGCATCTATTTGGAGCTGGTTTAGGGTGTGTTTAGGGTTTATCTAGGCTTGGTTTAGGATCTATCTAGAGTTGATGTAGGACCTATTCAGGATTGGTTTAAGGATGTTTAAGGTGTGTTTTGCGGTGGTATAAGATTTATTTAGGTCTGGTTTAAGATGTATTTAGGGCTGGCGTAAGGTTGATTTAGGATTAGTTTCAAATTTATTTAGGGAGTGCTTAGGGTTTACTTAGAATTGTTTTAGTGGTTCTTTGGTTGGTTTGGGGTTTATTTATGGTTGATTTAGGGTTTATTTATATGATGTCTCTCAAGGATTATCTGCAGTATGCGCAACAAAAAAAAGGGACAAGCAGAGCAGAGAAGCAGAAAAGCAGGTAAGCAAAGAAGCAGGGAACAGCAAGAAGCAAAGAAGCACAGAAGCTGGAAAATCAGGAAAAACACGGAAAAGCGGAGAAGCAGAGAGGCAGCACAGTGGAGAAGCAAAGAAGCGAAGAAGCAAAGGAGAAAACTGGAGAAGCAGAGAAGCAAAGAACATCAAAGAACTATAAAAGCAGAGAAGCAGGGAAAAGCAGAAACACACAACTCGAGAAGCAGAAAAACAGAAAAGCAGGGAAACACACATATATAAATCAAAAAAAATGCCACAAACGGAAAACATAATTCCCCAAAAAAATAACCCTCCAATATTGTACAATATACAACAATACATAATATATACATAAAGTGTAACATATTACACACACATATACATATATATTTATATAGATATATTAGTAACTATATAAATAAGTGTATATATATATGAATGATATAAATAGATGTATATATATATATTGTATAATTATGTAGTATATACATACGATTATGTATATATGTATGTATACACATGAGTTAAATATGTAATTACAAATGTATATATATACATCTCAAAGTGTCATATGAACCAGATACTGTCTCGCGCTCCCGCAGCTTTCTTTTTCCACAGCTATGCCTATGCTCAGTCAATTTCACCTGCAATCCTCAGGTTTGCTTTGGGTTGTCACGATGTGACACGTACATAGCCCCAGACCAGTTTCGCCACTGGTCAGCTGCCTGGCAACCCAGGCTGGAACCTGCTCTGCAGGAATCACCCAATGCACTAAACTCCCAAAGCACTAAAGGTATTCGAAGGTGAGAATGACAGCCGCAAAAGGTAGCTGGAAAAAGATTGTAGGGAGGTACGACGAATGAAAGTCAAAACCATGGCATCGCCACCATGGATCGTTGATGCCAAGTCGGCTGATGTCGTCAGCCCAGTTGCTCTTGCTCTGGACGTACTCCCAATATCCTTGGGCTCGCAGTGCAAACAGAGCTAGATGGATCAAATGACCTAGATTCGCTAAGTCGGCATTGCTAGAACGTCCTCTCACTAGCGTCATGACGGCTGCCACATTGTCCAAAAACCAGAGGCCGCGTCGGTTTCGAAACAGATCAGGCCTTTCGACAAGGGCGTAGAGCACCATAGATAGTTCCAATTGGGCGATGTGCGTCTCTGCAGGTTGCCAAAAAGTTACTTTAATGGCATTTGGGTCCAATTTTGTGGCTTCTGGGTCCAAGATTTGGGCATTCTCAAGCCAGTACACTGCACAAACAATGTGTGACACAAAGCTGTCATACTGTAGCATGTGAAAGCTGTCACAAAGCAACCAAGACATGCCACCATGTCAAAGCTGCTACCTTGTAGCAAGCATGCTGCCATGTCAAAGCTGTCACAAAGCAACCAAGATATGCCACCATGTCAAAGCTGCTACCTTGTAGCAAACATGCTGCCATGTCAAAGCTGTCACAAAACAACAAAAATATTCACACTAATTTAGTTTGAACCAAAAAAGGAAAAATAATCCAGCAAGATTTGGTCTAAACCAGGTCCATTATATTTAATTTTTGTTTCTGTGATTTTGTTGGGATTTGGTTTTCTAGTTTTTTTTACTTGGTCATTGACCCTTGTGTATTTCCGACCCGCACAACGCTCAGGTGCTTACAGAAAAGCCAGGTGTTCCCAGCACAAAAACCGATCTCGCCAGGTTGGTCAACACTGCATGGCCCTAAGAGAACCATGTGTTGTCGGTTCAGATTTTATATGGTACATGTATATTATTGTATATTATGATTATTATATTATATATATATACTAATACCCCAAACCAAAATCACAACATAAAACACATAAATACCAGCAGACATACATATATATAAATAAACAAACATACACATTATACATATATATATATATTTATTTATATTTATATGAATTAAACACAGCTATAGTTGATGTTTCTCTTTGGCCCAGGTCACACCTGCACCCATGCCATGTTTCGCCAAGGACCAGATCTGTGTGACAGCTTCACCTTGTTTTTTTTGGCAAGTGTGGCTAAATTTGGCTAAAACATTTTTATGCCAAATATCCTGTTCAACCGTTTGGTTACTCCAGCTACTGTTACTCATTTGATATCCACCTGCTACTGTTACTCCAGGACCCCGCAGCTACCCACATTGCCAACTATGCCAAGGTTTGGATTCCGTGGTTGGTCGATTTTAAAAAACAATTTGTACTCAATTTCCCTTGGGAATTCATTTTTGAGGTTTTACCTCAATTTCCCTTGGGAATTCATTTTTGAGGTTTGCCTCCTCCTATGAATCTGTTTCATAGTTTGTTCTGGGGAAATCCCAAACTGTCCAAAAGTATCCAACATATAAATACATATACACAAACACATATTATATATAAGGATGCATATGTTCGGAACTACGTTTCAAGATAATATACATGTATCTACGTGTATAAAAATCCATCAATCAATAAATCACCACAAGGGGTTCAATTCAGGAAATATATTTCTTGTATTTTGGATATTTATCATCTCACTCCTAAGAGTCCCCCACATTTTCAACCAACATTCTAATATAGATAGAACTCAGGGCCGCCAAGCTTTCCAAGTTTCAGAGTCCACCACATTGATTTCCAAGTTCCACAATGGCCAGGCTTTGCCATCAACACCTGCCAGTTTTCCGCCGGTGTGCCAAGAGTTAGCTGCTGGAGGAAGGGGGAGCTTACCAGGTTTCGAAAGGTGAATTCAAACCTATGTCTCAGCAGTTGTGAGAACCCACGCATGACCACTGATGCACCATGGCCCAAAATCAGGATCTTTTGTGATCATTTCCCGGCAGCCATGATTGGTAGGGCCCTGGAGGCCTTGTTGAACCGTAGGCGCTCTGCTCCTGCTGCACCCAAGCGCCCTGCAGCAGCTGTGCAATGTGATTCCGATTCAGATCTGGAAACGCTTTTGGATAGAGAAATGGGGGCTTCCAACTTCAACTTGCCACTTGAATGAATGTTGCTTGTGGTCTCAATTTTTCTTTCAAAAGTTTGGCAGCTGTTCTACAAAAGCAGAGTCTTCATTTAATCCAGAATCTATTGATATTTCAAAGGAAAATGTGATGGTTTTTAATCCAGATTATAATTTTTTTAGAGGCCGCCATACCCTGTGCCAAAGAGCTTTGACGACCTTGGGTCTACACCTCAGAATCCTTCCTGCTTTTGATTCTCAAGATGCGGAATTCTGAAGTTGGCCAAACTCACAGCTAACACTTAACTTCTTTTACAACATCTCGACATTGAGGCGGTGGGCGCCAGTCCTACTGGATCGGTGTGCTTGCATCTTCGGGGATGATTTTGTCAAGAACAAGATCCGTTTATTGTCAGCAAATAATTGAAATCAGTTACAAGAATTCTGAAGTTTTTTTTCCGTATGAGGTTCCTGCACATGGCGCCTCTGCGATTTGTTTGGAGGAGCACTCTGCCTTCGACAGGCATGGGCAATGCTGTGTCAAGCTGCCCAAGACCGCTGGGGAATCGACACTGGTGTGACATGGGGATTTAATGCATCTCTTCTCAAATTTGGCATGTCAACAACTTTTTTTTAGTATCTAAAACATATATTTCCACAGCTTAGCCAAGGTAGAGATGAACCGGGCGTGCATCAAGCTCCACAATGAAGTTTTTGGCGGATGCTGCTTTACCAACATTTGCAACATGGTGACCCACACAAAGGTGTTCAAGAAAAAAGAGGATCACTGGGCCCCTGCAAACCTCAAATTGGCTCAGAAAGCATGGTGCGCAACCCACAAAAAGATGTCGCTAGGTTTGAATTTCATAAAATATCACAAATAATGCATATCAATTTTGATTCATGCCCGTCCAGCACCATGAAATACTCACCTCTTTGAGCTCTCATCTCAGGTGCGAGATCTCCTTCACGAAAGACGATGTGCCTCTGGTGGGGGCTCCGTGCATCTTGTTTTCCCAGCCCCATGCCAGCAAGGACCAAAATGTATTTTAAAAATTGAACATATCATCATATATCATCGGTGTATCAATCCACCTATATGGGTATATACAACCCAATTCAAATCAGTGTTTGCCCCCAGCTGTTCAATCCTGATTTGTCCCAGGTATGGTCTTGGGGAAGGTTTCCAAAACGAGGTGAAGAGCCGATGCCAGAAAGCCTCAATCAAATTTCAGCAGAAGGCACTGGTTTCTTTGCACGAGAATGTTCCCGCCTATGATGAGGAGCCCTCTGTCCAAATATCTATAATCTTGAATTAATCATTCGAGTCTTAGGCAATTGCAGGTTTTAGTTCAAAGCCCAAACCAGGAGTTCCTGCAGAAGAACCTTCGTCAACACAAGATTCAGGGAACACAGCTATGACCTCAGATTCAACAAATTAAATCAAATTGAGGACATGGTGATTTTGCTTGATGATTTTCAAAATCCATCCCGTAATTTGCCCTGTCCAGCCAGGCTGGACCCCAAGATGTTCGGGCACCCCAACAATCGGTTGAGAGCCTGGCGCATCATTTATCACACCAAGTTTCGAAAGTGGTCATGCAAGTGGACCCTAGACCAGTTGGCCAAGATGATTCTTTGTGATAGGCAGCATGTTAGCCTCAACTACTCAGTCTATCTACGACCCCTTGGTCCAATGCAAGCTGTGAGAGAGATGGATTTGACTGAGCATCTAGGCGTATTAACATGTGATATGTTTTTTGTTTAATGTTTGATCATCATGTCGATACAATTCCAGTAGATGTATTGTTTCAACACATATCTGTTTCAGGTGCCAGAAGCACCATCTGAACAAGTTCAGGGCAACCATTCCCGAGAAGAAGTTGTACGATTTGTCTGCCAACCCTCAGAAGCGTCGTCGAACCGAAGCACAGAATGGAATCCTGCCATGCTTGACTACATCTTCCCAGTTGTGGCCATTTGACTCAATCATCCTGCCATTTCTAGAATAGTCCATCCACCAATTCAAGACTCAAAACAGGTTTCGGTGCTGCACTGCCCAGGTGTGACCGGAAGAGACGCCTGATGTCTGGAGAGGAGCAACTGGCAGCATTGGGCTATCCATGCCTGCAGGAGTTGGCTTCTGCGGCCAAAGTGGAGCCATGGTTATTCATGGGGGGCAGGGGGGCATAGTATGCACATATCTCATATGCATACTTATAATATATAATATGTTTAATATATTGTTTATTGATTCATATTCATGTATATATATATATGTATATACCTACCTATCCAACCATCTAATTATCTATGACCATATGTTTCTATTTGTTTGTCTCTACAACTAAATATATATGTATGTATGTACCCATATATTTTTCTACATCTCTGTATGTGTTTTGTTCTGTGTCTAAACCTTTATGCATCTATATATCTATCCATCTCTATCTATCTATCTACCTATCTATCTATCTACCTATCTATCTATCTATCTACCTATCTATATAATTATTGATTTACATATGTACATATGTATGTGTTCCTATAGATATTTCTATACCTATTATCTATACCGATATATTGACCTATATCTTTATTTATCTAACTACCTACCTACCTAATCTACCTCTCTACTTACCTACCTATCTTATCTACCTACCTACCTACCTATCTATGTATGTATCTATCTACCTATTCTCTTTGTCTGTCTATCTAACTATCATTATCTAACTACCAAACTATCTAACTATCTATCTCTGACTCTGCCTTTATCTCTATACTATTTCTATCTCTGCTGCTATCTATCCATAAAGCTCTTTCTATCACTCTATCATCAAAGTATGCTGCTATGGACAAGCCAGATTTTTCAGTTTCTTGTGTTTTTGCAAGGATTTGGTCGACGTCACTGACTACACCCCAGCTAGTGTCCGGAAGATGGCCGGCAATGGC